AGTTTCTGGAGGCAAGCTATTTTGGAAGTGGATGCCACACAGGGCACCACCATGAATGAAAAGTAAATAATTCTTATTCTGTGAGCTACACGTTTGCTGTTGCTGTTGTTGTGAAATCCACTTGGATTCAAAGCAATCTCATGTGTGCAGACCAGAACTGGGCTCCCGGGGACTTCTGAAAGCCTTCTGGAAGCAGACCACAAGGCCGATCCAGCGCTTCTGCGTAGGGTTGAACTGCGAACTTCGCAGCTCTGACAAAGCACTCAGCCAGAAGTGGTCATCTCTGCACACAATGATGCCACAATGGTCTTAAGCATGACCGAGATCAAGAGGACAGCGCAGGACAGGGCACAAGACTCAGCTCTGCTGTTCACAGGGTTCTTTTCTTTAAAAAATGCACTGTGCACATTTTCTCCCCCCCCTTCCTCAGCCCACTTTGCAAGGCATCCCTTGTTCCAGACTGTTCTCAAACATGTAATGCATAATCATCTATTCCTTTTGGACAGTTCTTCCTCTCATCTGTTCTAATTGTCTATCTGCTCTTTCCCATTTCCCCGCCCCCCCCCCCATGTCTGTCTTATTTTATAACAGCGGTATTACTATGAGTTGGAGTGAACTGGATGGCAGTTAACAACATGTCCACAAGTGGTCAACCCAGCTCACCACCAAAGGGGATAGCTCCAGGAAGTGGGGCTGCTCTGAGGACGACCCAGGAGCAGAGAACCCCTGCTCTGCTGCTGATGCCTGTTTCCTGCCACACAAACGTGTCTGGCGCCCTGGGCACTGTCCTTGGAACAAGGGTACAAGCCATGAACGTGCCTTGTTGCTGAACAAACAAGGAGTAAGAGATGCTCACTCCTTCCCAGATAATTGAGCAGGGTGGTATGAGGTCGACTCCATGGCTCCCTGACAAGGTGACTGTGGCTTGAAAAACCAGATCTCAAATGACCCTGACTGGCCAGGTCACCGCCTGCCCTCCACCAGTGCCCCCAACAGCTCCTCCCTCCATGCTCACCTGATGCCAACACTGCTCACACACAGCACATACCATCTGTCTGTCTGCTGGCTTCTCACCTAAATACTCTAGGCCAGAGGTCCTGATATGGGGCAACTGTGCCCCTGTGGGCACTGGGCAACATCTGGAAAACATCTGTGGGGGTCATGACTGGGAGGTGCTACTGGAATCAAAAGAGTGAAGACCAAGCTTGATGCCTTCAATGCACAGAGTGGCCGCAGCACAGAGGATTCTGAACTACAGTGCTCTGCACCGAGGGCTAGTCAAAGGCGGGGACCCTCTTTCTCAGCACCAAAGAATGTCCTTCTATATTTTACAGGATTTATGAAGCCATAAATTAGGGGAGCTCTGGTGGCCTAGTGGCAAGAAGCTGCACTGCAATCCCAGAGGAACACGGTTCGAATCCACCAGATGCTCTGCCGGAGAAGGA